GAAATGCTAAGACAAAGATTATTTTAAACACAAACACAAACTAGTCTAAAATAATTCAATTTATGCAAAATTCACACTCAAAATTCAATTGGGAGGTTTTGGTATCATAGGGATCTAAAACCTATTAAAATTGAAAAGCAATGTCGTAAAAATACATTAAAACTTTTTTTTTTTTTAAATAAGAGAAACTTATTGAAATAGAATTAACATATAAAATCAGAATATTCAAACATCAACAGAGATAGAATACAAGAGTTTAGGGCGATTGAGAGGATCGCAAGTAAGAATAACATCTGACCACTCGACATTTCCCCAAATACAGCCATCCTTGGACCGTTGCAAGGAGATCTCAGCACACCAGATCTCCAAGCTCTTGTTACGAGCCTGTCCCAGAAAATGAGGATATTCCGACCAAACTTGGTCAATCTAACCCCGGAGAGCAACTCTTCAATTGTTTTATCAATTTTCTGTCTAACCATAAAGGACTTCCACTCCATTGCCTCCTTGTCAATACCCCCACCATAGTGGACCAATCTCGAATCACAGAATTCTGCCTGCAGAAGTTGCAATTGAAAACCTTCCACCATTGTCCAATCCATCATCACGCCGGTCCAACTGCTCTCGCTCACACCAATAGATTCTCCCGTTATGACAAAAACTGTATAACAAGTTATCGATCACACACCAATCCCTTTTAGCTGTTTTAGGTGAAAGATGATTCCTTCTTCCCCACTTACACTGGCTAGGTAAGTAGTAGAATAAGGTTCTATTACATGCATCCACCAAGTAAACCTTATCCTCTACCACCACACTGTGGTGGATCAAACATTGTATATAGCTTGTAGTCGGATCCTCATCCTCCAGCACTGGCAGGACATCCCAAGTTTGTGTCTTTGGGTCGAATACCTCTCCCCAATTCTTCGTCTTGTCGTACCTGAAGCCTCCAAACACGTATATCTTGCCGTCCACCACGCTAGCTGCGGGGGAAGCACGAGGCACTGTCATGGAGGTCACTTGGTGCCACTTGTGAGACCGACAATCCAAGAGAAAGACAGCCGACGTGCGGAGGCCGTTAACATATCCACCTAATAACATAGATACCCCAATCGACCTCCGGCCACTGATAGGGGTTCGAGGGGATCGCATGAGCTCGCTTCTTCCAGAGGATGAACCAGCGTGGGGTTGGGTCGGGAGGCATGGTTAAGCATATGTAATGGTGCTTCTCCGTGTGACCCATCAGCGATCGGGTCTGGAACAACTCCGGCGAAACCACCAGAGACCGGCAGGTCTTGGAAACGAGCGATAAGGCCGCGTGGTCCGATCTCGATAAGCCGGCAAAGCAACTTATAGCCACCGGATCTGGCAGCGAATCCAGCAACCCAGATGGAGATGCCTCCTTCCTCCTTTTATTGTGCGGTGGCTCTTCATTGGACATCGTCAACGGATTTCTGCATCGCTTCATAATTCTCCTTCTGAATTATTTTTTTTCTTTTTAAGGATTGATAGACAAAGAAACCATCTTATACGATTTCGCCATCTCCCAGACCAGACCTAACAGGGTTAAAAGATTCAGTGATTCTTTCCTTTTATTTTCTTACTAGATTTATGTGGATTTTAATTAAAAGAACTTCTACCAATAGAATATAAATTATTGAATATAAATCTTCTTATTATATAAAATTTTATGCGTCAAACTTTATAACTAACACGTGTTAAGTCGATTAACTAGATTTTGACACGTGTACACAAATATAAAAAAATTATTTTCAACTAGATTTATCCATATGTTAAAAGATTTATCTATTTCTATTTTCTTTGTAAAATAGTTAAAAGTAAACCTAATTTAAATAGGATCACAAAATTCTAAATCTAATTTAAATAGCATTAGAAAAATCTAATTATTTGAAAATATATGATATAATTTAACTAAAAGTAAAATAATATTCCATCCATTTCTAGATATATGATGTTTAAGGTTTATGCATTCCAATTAAGAAATCATTAAATTTTTATTGGTTTTTGAAATAAATCATTAATTTTTATCTACCCAAAATATTTTACCCAATAGAAAACTAATCTGCAAATTTTAAAAGTCAAAAACACTAAAAAATCAATTAATTATGCATAGAAAGGTGAAAACATCATATAATATAAAACAAAAAAAATACTCAAAACATTT